TTTTGTTTGACAAAAATAGGATCGACCTAGCACTGCCTTTGTGCCACCTCAAACCTTCACATCTTACTTGCATGCACCATGCTAAGGGTTGGGGTGCTTGTTGTGATGCTAACACAATTGATTGGGAATGAAAGTGGGTCAGAACCCAACCCAAATAGATGCGGATCCAGAAAACACAGGAACCGGTTAACAAGATTTTGTAGGACTGGAAGCGAGATCGGTATATAGGAACCGATTTTGGTTCAGTTCTAGGCAAGGCATTGTGTAAAGTGGATCTAGAACCGGCAAACCCAAAAACACAAAATTGGGTCGGGTGGAACCGGGTAAAGTGGGTCTAGAACCGAAAAAACCAGGAAAACTAGAATTTTTTGGTAATTACTTAGTGGGTTGAACTTTATAAATTTTTAGCTTTGATATCCAGACTTTAGTGGACTGTAAGTCATTGAATACTAAACCAAAAATGACAAAACTATATTCTAAAATTATGTACAAACTCTAAACTACATGTTAAAAAAAGCCTCATGATAGTATGACTTCAAACGATTTAGATTTGCATGTTTTAAAATTTCATAGAAAACAAAAAAAAACTAAAAAAACAGAATATTTCTATCTTTGATATCCCAGCTTTGAAAAACCGAATTACCCAGAACCCATATAAATCCATTCTCTAAACCCGGAACCCAGACCGGTTCTAATAGTTCCGGTTCCGTTCTAGTTTTCTGGTTTTAAATCTCATCCATAGTGGGCTTCTTGATGTGGGTGGGTGGCTATTGGGCTGCTAACCCACTTTGACTTGATCGGTCTACGCTAGGGTTTCATATTTTGTATAGTCCCCGTATTTTACAATTTAAAATAAAAAAAATATTGAAAAAAATAGACAAACAATAATAGTTTACACAAATTTGGTATAAACCGTCCAACCATTCCAATTTTTGAACGAAAAGACCAAAAACATTCAAACACAATCTTATTAGGCAAAACCAAGACATTCATTCCTAATGACAAATTTAATTTTTTGTTAATAAAATTATGAATGTAACTTCATTAATAATACATGGAACTAAAAATTAAAACTATGTCAAACCATTAAACATTAAAATACAATTTTAAGAAATTAAATTATTTTGATGGTTAACTTAAGAACACAAAGAACCAGGTTGATCAAGATAAATTAATTTTAGTGACTATTATGTGTAAAAGCAACTTTAATGCCACTGTTGGAGTTTTATCACATAGTAGCTTTAATTAGACATGAACAACCAACTAACAAAACACAAAAACTTCTTGCAGGATTCATTATTGTTGGTGATGATAATCATTATTGATCACCATATGCATATATGTACGTGGATATAAGGAATGTTGCTAGATACCAACAAATCACAACGTTCTTCCTTTTCTTCTTGTCTTGATCGATGAAGCTTCAGCAAGGTGGGAAGAGAAAGAGAAGCGATATGAAGGAAGGGAAGAGAGGATTATGTTTTCATTTAATATTAAGTATTTCCTTAATGCTAGTTCTTATAACTTGAATGCTTAGTTTGTTATATGGGCTCTACAAAAGTCTTTAATCTATTTAATTAAGTAGATCCTTTTAATCTAATTAATTATTTTGATATTAAATATTTTTATGTTTTTCTTTGATAAAGTAAATAATAAATAACCATTTTAATTAGTTATTTAGTTTTTGTTGGTAAATAATAATATATTCAATAAATATAATACTTTCAAATTGATAATACATGAAAGTGACCCTAAGCTAATCCGAGAGTGGAAGTGATCTGAAAGAATAAGTTATCTGATGGTGAATGAATTCCAACCGCCAATTCCATATAATGATTGAGCAATCTGATAATAAAAGTTTATTTGTCCTCTATATGATTTAGAATAAGGGACCAGATCAATAGGAAATCAACAGTCAGTTGTAAAATTCCTGGTGATCATCCTTTTGATGTATCTTATGTTCGCCTGGTTCTTTGCGTTCTTTGTATTAGCTATATAAAGGCATGTCAACCTACTTGTATAATGTACATATTTATGCACTCCTTTGATTAGTATAAGATTTAGATATGTGGTCTCCTTAATACATTCTTATTGCTCTTAATTTAATATCCGGTGTTTATATTCATGCATTTAACTATTGTATTAAATACTTGTTGATATTATTCAAGTCATTGGACTGGAACTCATTTTAGTTTATTGTACCTTATCATTTGGTATCAGAGCCTAATTGGTTCTTCTTTTAATCAATTGTCAGTTGTACGATTCATGTTGATCAATTTCTTAATGTACCTTATGTTGCCCTGGTTCTTTGAATGCTCTGTATTGGCTATATAAAGGTAGGTCAACCTCCTTGTATAATGTATTGGTATGCACTAATTTGATTAATACAAGATTTAGAGATGTGTTGTCTTTAATACATTCTTATTGGTCTTAATTTAATATTTAGTCTTTATATTCTTGCATTTAATTCCTATATTAAATATATGTTGATCTTATTCAAGTCAATGTACTGTACTGGAACTCATTTTAGTTTATTATATGAGAAATTAAACATCCTTCTACTTTTGTTCGTACAAATCCTCCTACCCAATTAAATGATGACATGTGTCATATTAGTATATTAAAATATCATTAGATTTCATTAAATGAACATTAAATGTTACACATATCACTATTTAATTGGGTTGGAGGATTTGTAGGAAGAAAAAGTAGGAAAATATTAAATTTCTCTTATTATATCTTATTAATTGATATCAAAGCCTAAGTGGTTCTTCTTTGAATCCATCTAACCCGATTATCATTTCTTTAGATAAACACTAGCTATATCTTGCATATTTTGATCTAACGGAAAAAAGTTCTTTAAATATACCAATGTCGCTCTTATTTTCTAAACTAAAAAATGACTAACTCTAATCCACAAATGTATTCGATGCATATAGCCAACAACATGGGTTGCCCGAATTGAGCCCTATTGCTGGTGGTTGAGGAATATGATCGTTAGAAAATTTGAATGGAACATTTTTAAATTCAAAAGAAAAAGGTAAAGAGATTTCGATATCTGTAACTGGAGGACCCTATGTTTCTGTCACAATAACTGTAAGAGATGTAGCTGCTCAACTTCTTAGTCAAGGTGATGTTAGAGAAGCTCCTTTAACTGCTCTTAACATCGAGAAGATGCATGAATATAATATTACATTCTTAGAAATGATTTTTGGCATACCTCATCATCTTATCGAGCATATCAATATGTGCAAGAGTACATAGGAAATTTGGGTTACTCTCCAAGAATTGTTGGAAGGTTCAAAAAAAGTAAATAATAATAATAATAATAATAATAATAATAATAACATCCGCTGTCAATGACTATGATACCTTCTCATCTCTTCCTGATGAATATATTATATCTGCTTCTAATAGATTTTATATTTCGATCAACAATATTATTGCTCATGATGTTTCAAGAACTCTCATTGAACACAACCTCAAGTTCATTAACAGCCTCAAAAATGGTTGGGGTAATGTCAGATCTTGCGTGCAAAGAAATGGTTCCTTAAAAACGTTGACCCCTTTTCAACTTTTTGAAAAAAATTCAAGGACATGACTCCAGTGTGGCACAAACTCTTAAAAAGTCTTTGGTGGACCTCTTTTTCTCTTCAATACAACAAGCTTCACACGACTTGACAATGTTTTAATAGAGCCATAAGTTATGGAGTCAAAATGTTTAGACTCTGGATGTATCTATTGGATCTATCCTTGAAGTTAAAACCAAGGAACATGATGGAATGATTTGCTTCAAGATTCAAATGATTAAGAGATTCACAAGAATGCACAGAGTAAATAAGATTTCACTTTGATTAATGAGTTAGCAGAACAATTCGTTACAGATGCAAATAACTATTTTATCCAAAACTCTAACCCATTCTTCTAACTCTAGTTCCTATATATAGGCTTCCTAGGAACAACAGAAAGGCATCTCAAGTCAACCGATAAACTACAAACTTAAGGTAACAAAAATATGTGAATTCGGAAATTATACAATCCACAAAAAGTAAATACATGAATAGTACAAAATATACGAATACAACCCAAATGCAAATTGACACATCATTAACATTCTAAACCTTAACAATCTCCCCCTTGTGTCAAATTGCGGCTATTGTCTTCACTTATGGTTTCTTCACTACGTCAAACACCTTTGGCATAATTTTAACCAAGACCGAATGAACACGAATCGACCACTTGATCATATGCGAACTGAACTTCACATCACCATTGACTTGAACTTTTCAGCATTAGATAAGATTTGATTCAAAGCAACAGATGAATACAAATGCTTATCTCTCAGAAAAAACATCCACTTCTTCGGAACACCATTCTCTTTAACCTTGAACACTACACCCAATTCTCATTTTCGATAAAACCAGGTTTCAGTGAATCGATATTATCAGGAGCTTCAACATGTTTCATGATAGGCTTTTTATTCAAAACAGAAGAAATCTCTATGTCCATCTTTGAGATTACAATTATGTAAGACTTGATTAATCTTTTCATATGCAACCAAATAAGTTCATACTTTTTTGTGTCATTTGAAACAATGTTGAGATTGTAATCTAATCGAATGGATTCATCATTGGAAGATCTGCCAAAGAGAACTCATCAGCTTCATGATTTTGTCCATGAACAACCTTGAAATGTATGTTTGTAAAGACAACAACACCAACAATTTTCCTAACCTTCAAACCTACAATCTTGTTTAACCTCCAAGATTCGTATTGAGGTTTAGAATTTTCAACATAGAAATTGAACAATTTCCTGTTGATAGTTATATTCCCCATAGGCACCTTCTGAACATTCTTAAAACAAAGAAATTGGAAAGCCTTCTCAGTAATGGGCAAATCTAATTGACATTCCAGATTATTCTCAACAAAAAATGAGGTTGAAGGCTCCAACCAATAAAGATTTGGACAATTTATTGCTTCATCTTCAATTCTTTCAAGTGTTCAGTCAGGAAACATTGATTTCTTATCTGTAAGACCTGATTCAACATTTTTCTGTTCAACTTTCTCAGCAATGATTTTTTCATTTAAAGCATGAAGTTCATCAAGCACAAAATCATGTTTTGCTTGTTCAACCAGTTGTTCTTTATTCAATTTTGGATGCAGTTCGTCTTCCTTTTAAGAAACAATTTTCACATTCCCTTTTCCTGAACCAAAAGCTACATTACCTTTTTTTTCAGTTTTTTTTTTCAAATCCTTCAATTTTTCTTCCAAAGATATCTTTTCCAAGTGAATTTTCTCATTATTTTTATGCATTGGACCATTTTGATAAGGATTATTGATGTTGACTTCCAGAAATACACTTCTTTCTCCCCTTGTTGTGATTTAGCTCTGTTACTCGTAACATTTGATATAACATTCAGCTTAGTGAGAATTGGCTTCAACTTCTCATTCATAAGTTGCGAAATGTAGTCTGTATAAGGAGCATATTTGGTTTCCATAATTTTGACTTGTCTTTGATTGATTGCAAAATTTTGCCTCTTCACCAACAAAAGTTCTCCATTTGCTTTACCAATATCCAGAACAACATGTTTCAATTGTTCCTTATGAACCTTGATTTTATCAGTTGATTCAGCCATGGTATACATTATCTTATTTTCATGAGAAATACTTGTTTGTAGAGTGAAAATTGAGTTTGAAACTGAAGTGTGATGATCAACATTATCCTTTTGCATGCCAAAATGTAGACCAGAAAAAGATTCTCTTTCATTTTGCAATGAAGTGCAAAAACTGAGAATTGCTTTATTCACTTAAAAACCATTATTATCAAAGGCAGTCTGAAAGGAATTCATGAAAGTAACTTTAGTGGTTTCCATTTCATTAATCTATGAAACAATCTTGGAGACTTTCAAACTAGCTGCCTCAATCAGTTGAGAAAAATCTTTAACTAGTTGCTTGTGTCGAGCAAGATTTTTTGCATTTGGTTTGAACTAGCTTTTGAATGGTTGCTTGATGAGAAGAGATCAGTTCTTCACATTTCGTAGTCATGAAAGCAGAGGATTGAGAAAGAATATCATCTAACTTCTGATTCAGCTAGCAATAATCTCATTTAGTCATTGGAGCATCATCATCATTATCACTGTGAACTTGAAATGAAGAATTTGTTCCAACAAAATCATCAAGTGACTCTAAATATTATTTCATTAAGGCTTTTTCATCAAAGTAATCATAAACATGTGGAACAGAAGTAGATTCTAGTGTGGAAACATTAGGTTGAGACATGTTCACACCAATGTTGACATTTTGTCCCACATAAAATGTTTTTCCATTGATGTTTGAGGTTCTAATCTCCACCCAATGGGATTCAAAAGTAGAAACCTCTGGTGGAGGTTCTTTAGTCGATGTGGTTTTTGACATAGAAGTGATTGTTGCTTCTTTGAAAATAGGAATTTCAAAAGGTTTCTTTAAATCATGAGATGTTGGATCAAAAGTGGTACTTGTTGGAATTGGAGTGGAATGAGATATGTTAGAATGAATAGGTGGTGTAGGAGGTGTTTGAGAAAGAGTTAATAAAGGATCATCAACAACCTGTTTAATAATACCAGCTTCATCATCCATGAGCGAAGGGACAATTGGAGTAGATACAGATGTCAGAATCGGCTCTAAAATGATTGGTGTTTTCTGCGAACCGTTTTCTATGCCTTTTTCATCATTGATTGGAGACTCCTTTTCATTATGAACAAGGCTTTGATTATGCTCACTTGATTCTTCTTCAACAACAACTTGTGTTAGCTTTCGTTTCTTAAGCTTTTTTGATTTCTTTGAACCATCTCCACCAAATTTACCTTTGTGCTTGGAACTCTTTCGTTTCTTCTTTGGAAGTTCTTCTTGTAATGATCCAGAATCATCACCCTTATCATCAATTCTAGATTTCATGTATTCAACAATAATAGGATTGTTAGCAGGAACCCTAGATACCATAGCTTCAGAAATAGATCCCACCATTAAGAAATTCTTCGGATCAGAAGTAACACACGTCGTAGTTTGCATCTTGGGAATTGCAGCAATAATAACATCTCTCATCTCCGAAATATGATAATGAAGTATAACATTTCTTACTACAATGGACCAAAAACGAGCACATGAAATTTCAGTATCCTTCATCTTTGAAGTGGGACTTTGAAAAAATTGTCCCCACAAAACTGTTCCAAAATCAATATTTTCCCCAGAATACAGTCCGTATAATAGAGTGTGAAAAATGTGACTTGCATTATCAGACCCATTTTCCCTCTGAGAAAAACATTTCAACATGATCGTTAAAAAAGCATTCCAAATAGGAGGAAAAGCAGACTTCTTAAATTTTTATATAACAAATAAATCAAAATTGTACCCCATTTGTTGGTATACCTGAATAATATTTGTTGTAGAAATTGAGACTGGAGCCATAGAATACTCAACAATCGGAAGCGATAGCAACTTGCAGAAGTTTAATTTCGAAATAGAAGTTGTATGCCCTTAAATTTCAAAATTCGTTATCTCCATCTTCTTGTTGTAAATAGCAGTGGAATATGCTAACGAAATTTGAGAAATAGGAACATTCTCAAACATAATCAAAACTTTATTCAACACCGAAAGATTCAAACAGACGATCAAGGGTTGAACCAGTTGAGAATACTTCGATGGATCCATAACTGCAACCATATTCTGATTACACTTGATATTTAGCATGGAAGAAGAAGATGATTGTTCCATGAAAGATACACAATCTGAAGAAGCCATTTGATGAGAGTAAAAATCGTTGTTCGATGTGTTCTTTGAAGAATTTATGAGCGTAAATAGTTAAAAGGATAACTCTTAGGGTTTATATATGGAGAGAGATTTTTTAATTTGAATTTGAACCATTTAATCGAGTGGAAAGAGAAAAACTGCCACCATGCATTAAATGCATTGCATCTCATACGTCAACAAATGAAATCAAGCCCATCATTCCAAAAATAATGATCCAATAAGATGTAGCCATCACCACATTTTTTATAATAACCTGAAACGCCGTTTATCAATCATCATGATGTCAGTTTCTTTGAATACGCGCCATGAATTTAAAATTCAAATAAAACATGCCATTTCGGATTGCAGCAGTTTCAAAATCTCTTTCGCAAATTGAAACTGTATCCTTTGGAATTACGATCAATATTGTCTTTCACTGGCGCATTGAAATTTTAGAACCAATTAGAACCCAGAGTTTGTGAAATAAAAAATTTCAGTGCTAATGTGTGCTAAATGAAAAAATAAAAACATTTTTTTTTGGATAAGTAGTGATATCAAAGAATCTTTGACATAAATGCAGTTAGATCCTGGGCATAGATTCTCTTCCTTCAAAGTCAAGAGAGACTAAGAAGTGCTTGTGTACGTTCCATTTGAATTATGATCGTCAACTTATTAAGAAGTTACAAAAGGCATCTTTTCATAGGTTTCATAGGAAGGCTCGTTTCCGATCATAGATAAAACTTAACATAAGTTCATAGATGCGAAAGGAAAAATTTAATTGACCAGTGTAGTCAAGTTCAAGTTAGCAAAAATGCTATAGTGAATGGTAAGTATCATCGAGATAAGACAAATGTTTAGACAGAAATCTCATATTTTGAAAAATAAGATTGGACCTATTTGGGAAGAAATTAACCTGGAATCAATTAATCTCATTAAGGCCCCGTAAATGAAAATTAAGAGATTTTGAACATTAAAGAGTAAGGCATTGGAAAATATAATAATTTCAACCGTCAATTTGTTTGTTTTATTCTAAAACATAAAATTTCACCGTCAATTCATTTTTGGAAATGGTTGTTGGATTTCACCAAGGTCAGGGTAATAATGACCAAGAGATCATAAACACATATTTGTTTCAAACCTACATCCTAGTTGTTTTTAACTAGAGATGTCTAGGGATATGCGTCATTATGTGTTAATATTGTAAGAATTATAAGATTGGAATAGAAATGAGTTTTTCACACTCTCATGGTAACAATGAGAATGATCATAAAAACAATTATTGAAAAAGCATAACTCCAAGTTGGTATAGACTCGAAGGATCAAGGGTTAATCAATAACTATGGTTGATAAAACCGTCAATTTGTTAAGGCTTAGAAGAAGGAACCCTATGTTTGGATTTGTATATACATAAGACATCATCGATTTCCAAGATTGGTTAAAAGAAATATAATACCTCTGCTGTGAACGATTGACCAAGCAGAAATCTCTAAACTCCAAAATGAGTAGAGATAGGTAGCTCGATTATTTTTGTTAATACAACCTATCAGGAAGAAATTTTTAGAACAAGAAATTTCATTAAGGCTTTTTGCAAACAAATAATCTTTGAGACTTCAGACAACATACTGTAATATGCATCTAAGGATACTTAGCTAGTAAAATTTGAAAAGAGTAATACCTGATCCCCAAGAATGTAAACGTGCCATATCAATGCAGCAAGTGTCATCACAAAAATAGAGAAACTATTTTTGTATTTTCGAAAATTTTGAAATTAAAAGACAAAAATAAAGAAATTCTTTTTGTATTTTTGAAATTTTTGAAAATTAAAGAAAAATATAAAGAAAATCTTTTTTTATTTTCGAATTTTTTGTGCTATAAACATAGAATTAAAAATTAAGAAAAACAAAGAACAAATACCTAGAGCACCAGCCTGTGATAAATCACATCTTCTCACAACTAAGAATGGTGTTTGCAAGAGAATTTCGAAATCCTGCGAAGCTCACATCCTGTCTTAGAAAAAGAATAACCATTTCACAAGTTCATGATTTTGACTTCGGAATAGATTCAACTTCAATCATTCAAAGCCCTTATAAAATATTGTTAAATGAAATTTCAAGTAATGCCTTTGTGAATACGTTAGCTAATTGATCTGCTGATCATACAAAATGGACTTAAACATTTCCTCCTTCAACATGGTCGTTGATAAAATCATATCTTAAATCAATGTTTTTTGTCTTTGAATGTTGAACAGGATTATGGCATATACGTATAGCACTTTCTGAATCACAACAAATAAATTTTTTTCGTGCAAATGCCCTAGTGTCTAAGCTGACTTTGAATCCATATTATATGTGAAGTACATGAAGCCGCTGCAATTTATTCAACTTCAACAGTTGATAACGAAACGCATGTCTGTTTCTTTGATTGCCATCTAACAAGTTTTCCATCCAACAATTGACATCCACCAGAAGTAATTTTTGTGATCAAGTCCACAATCTTCGAGATCAGCATCTAAATATGAATGTACAAAGAACCCAAAGTTAGAAGGATACCACAATCCAAGAGAAGTAGTCGTATGAAGATATCTAAAAATATTCTTCAATGCAATCATGTATGGTTCTTGTGGATTAGTTTAAAATCTCGCACAATAGCAAACTACAAGCATAATTTCTGGACGACTAGATGTTAGATACAAGGATACCACAATCCTCTGCCTGTATAACGTAAGATATGCGATAGGTGTATCAAGAGAAGGAGCAAGATTTGTCCCAAATTCCATTGAAACTTTAACTTTCGAACCTCCATTCGTACTAAACTTAGCATGTAAAGTCTTTATAATAGCTTCATGGTTGATGAATATGCCCTCCGAACTCTGTCTAATATTTAGTCCAAGGAAAAGGTTAATTGAACCTATAGAACTCATTTTAAATTTATTTTCCATCAACTTACGAAATTCAGCAATCATATTTGGATCAGTTGAACTGAAAATGATGGCATCAACAAAAGTTTGAACCATCATCAAATGATCACCTGATTTCTTACGAAAGAAGGTATGATCAATTGAACCTTGTTTAAATTTTCATTGTTGTAAGAATCTAGTTAGAGTTTCATACCGTGCACGAGGAGCTTGCTTCAGACCATACACTGCTTTATCTAGCACATACAAATGATCTGGAAATTTCGCATTTACGAAACCTAGAGGTTGTTCAACATAAACAGTTGCTTTAAGTTCTCCGTTAAGAAATGCACACTTAATATCCATTTGAAATACTTCAAAATTTTTGTGAGCAACATAAGCTAAAAAGATGAGAACTAACTGCAGTCTTGTTACAGGAGCAAACTTTTCTTCATAATCTATTCCTTCTTCTTGACGATATCCTTTGACCATAAGTTGTGCTTTATTCCGAACTACATTTCCATCTTTATCCATTTTTTGTTGAAAAACCCATTTCAGTCCAACAACGGATGCATTCTTTGGAATTGGAATTAATCTCTAGACCTTGTTTCACTCAAACTCATTCAATTCGTCTTGCATGTATTTGACCTAATCTGCATGATCAAGAGCTATTTTAACAGTTTTAGGTTCGATTTTAGATATGAAGGAATTAAACATGCAAAATTCTTGATTAGAATTCAAGGACGCTTGTTTCGCCTTTTGTTGCGAACGAGTCAAAACATCCGAAAAAGTATCTCCAATGACTTGAGTTCGTGGATGATCTCTAGTCCATTTAGTAAAAGGCAGATACTTTAGATCATAATCAAGGTTTAATTCAGCATTGATTTCTTCAACTTTTAATTAAACTCTCCCTTGGAAATTTGGATTTGAATTCTCCCCCCTGCACCAAATCATTAATATTTCGTTCAGTTGATTGTGTAATATTTTCAACTATATATGAGTTGAATTAGAAGTAGAATGAGAAACAAAATTTTCTACACTCCCCCATCGACAAAACGAGTGTTGGAAACAACATTTTATTCTAAAGTTTCAACATGTTGTAACACTCCATCAACCAATTTTAACAATTCATCACCATGATTGTCAATTGCTTTGGTTTAAGAAGATATTGCCTTTTCAGGTTCATCAAACAAATCAAAAAATCCCTCATAAAGAGTCGTGAGAGGAGTTGTTTAATTGCACGATTTCAGAAAAATTTCTCCAATTGAGACATGTTCTTTCTGAATGGATTTCACATATTTGTAATCAAAGGTAACATAGTAAGTTTTCTCTGTTGTCTTTGACTTATTATTCAAAACAAGATATGCCTTTGAGTAAAGAGAGTACCCTAAAAATATTGCTTCATCATCTTTCGTGTCAAACT